AAAGAGAAGCAGAGTTTTTAATTTGTTAACAATAAGTTGTTAATTAAGAAAATGACAAGCAACCATAGACTTCTTTTTTCCTTTTTCAATTGCAGAAGCTACATCTTCCCCCACAAAAATCTCAAAAAATAGTATGTAGAGAGCCTGTCCAAATCCTCCCAAACAACCATATTGTATGCAGATAAAAGGTAATTCTTTGTAATTTTTTTTCTTCTCTCTCTCTCTCTTTTTTTTTTTTTTTTTTTTTACTTTTTTGGTCATAGGCCCTCCTCATCCCTTTCCTTGGAAAGATGGTAAAAGAAAATCAACCAGCCTTATAGCAGATAATAAATGAATTGAAAAATCTCTTAAGGAAATGCTTAGACTCTCCAGGTAAAATTTTTTTTGGCTCTCAGACTTCTCAGACTTCATCCACAAATGTTTTGTATAGATGTATAGCAGCTTTGCTAACTTATCTCTTAAGCTGAAGAGGGAGGAGCCTGTTTCAGGTCCTTTGATCACTCTTCGCCCTAAAAGCTTTTGCTCCTAAAGTCCATGCCAGGGTAACAAATAATCTGCTTTCTATATCTCCAGAAGGACCCTATAATAGTCCTTGTCACTCTCTATCTTCCTTTGATTCTGTGTGGCAGAGTAGACATTTCTGTTTCTTTGTCAGAGCTTCCTTTGAATACCTACTTTTAAGGATCATGCTATGTCAATGCCCATGGTTATCCAATTGATTCTGAAACCATCATGTCCACATGGTAAATATGAGAGACTCTGTTATGTAAATGAGACAAACTTGGCCTCTGTATACTGGCACTGTTATTTCTTCACAGTAGCTGGGACTCATTAGCTTAAAAGACTGCCAATGTCAAACTAAAAAATTTCCACATTCAATTATTTTAAATATAGCCTAAATTTTTAGCCATTTAGAGTCTGCTCTGGTTTGTATCCTTGTGAAATTAGAACAACTTCTGGCCATAGATAAATCTCAGAGTCTATAAAGATCCTGAACTGATGTTGCCCTCCAGAACACTAGAACCAAGAGCCTTACCATGAAGCAATGCCTCCTCACTGACACAAGTTTAATTGTTGAATTTAGGGTTTAAAATATTCTTTTAGAATCATATTGCTGTATAGCCAATCAAATTAGTTTTTTCCTTTCTTCTTTCCTTCAAAGTATTATTAAAAATAATAAGTAGCAGGGAAGGGAGGGAGGGGAACAGGGAATAAAAAGACAATACGTTTAACTGACACAAGAATATATTTTGCTGATGATAATGTATATGGTAATGTCTTTGTCTTGACTGATACGCACTGTATTCACGCTGGGAAAAATCATGTTGCACACTGTAAAGATGTATAGTGATTAAATGTATGTAATGTATATGTAAATAATAATTAGCAAGAGTTACTATATCAAAAGGACTTTCCTAAACACCCACACATATTTACTTAATTCACATACACACACACCCCTAATTTATAGCTACTAGTATTATTTCACTTTCATGATAAAGAAATGGAATTACAGAGAAGTTAAGCAATTTTTCTAAGGTCACAGAACCAAGATACAAAGTCGGGAATTTTTGTCTTAGATCATTATAAACTTTCCTTTACTGAAATTTCACTGTACAGGTCTCCAAACTTTTATTAAAGTTACTTCAAGACAAAAAAGTGTCCTCCATTTACTTTGTTTTAGAAAATTTCTCCAAGAGTCTTCTTTGTGTCAGCTCAGATAGAAAAGACAAATAGTCTTTCTTCTTTTACTCATATTACATGTGCGTGTGTAATATAGATAAATACAGAGATGATAGATAAATGATTGATAGATAGACAATAGGTAGATGATAGAAAGAGAAGAAATAAAGAATGTTTCTCTTTTCTATTTTTGTCTTCTTATAGATCACATTCTAAAAAAGCAGTCAGTACAACCCTTTACAATAAACACTGGTCATTGCTCAGCTCAAAACACCTCGTTGTTTCCCACCTTATGTCTAGTAGATTTCAAAGTTTCACTATGGGCTGCATGTGCTTATGAGTCCTTGCTCCTCTTTCTCTATGTTGTCATCCCCTGCTAAATATTTCCTTGCTTATATATTGCATCAAATTGGCTCTACTATTCATGGAATATATTAACATTGCAGTATATTATACTGGACACTCTAAAAATGATCCTATAAAATAGACTGCCCACCTCCTCATGGGACTTTCCCATGAATTCTTTCAGCTTTCTGCTCCAGGTTTACTTTATCAAAAATTATTTCTGTATCTTTCTAGATAGAACATACTTCTCTGCACTATCACTGCCTTATTTTGCCATAATATTTATGGCACTTACATTACTTCAGAATGCAACCTTTATAAAACCAGGGATTGTGTCCAATTGGTTTACTATTATATCCCTGGCATTTAAAACAGTGACTATGAAGTATTAGACACTTATATTTTACTTCTCATGTAAATTACAGAGTTATAGTAAACGTTAAAGAGATATTAACAACGTAGGAGCAAAACTTAATGTTAAATGCTTTAAAGAGATCATATACAATCATGACAAGAATCCCATGTTCTGGAGAGAACGCACCAGTTTATAACTGGCAGAGAGAGAATTTGACCTTGGGCAGTCCAATTTCAGAGACTACACTATTAATCATCATATCACATCATATCAGACTACCAGGTCATGAGAAATGTCTTAATATTTAAGTAAAACATCACTTTATATTCTCTGAGATTTTGTATTATTCATTATTGCAAATAAAGACAGCAATGCAATTGATGTTTTTAAAAATGTATTTAATTATTTATATTTAATTTAATCATTATACATCTTTACAGTGTACAACGTGGTTTTTCCCAGAAAGAACAGTACATAATATCAAATCAAAAGACATGACCGCATAACTTTTCATTTGCGTGTCTATTAGTTTTGTTTGTTTGTTTTCCCTGATTCCATACCTCCTAACCCCTGTTACCCACCCACTATTGTCCACACTCTCCTATACTTTCTAGTATCCACAGTTGTCCTCCCTGTTTTACATCTTCCAGTCTTTCAGTTTCTGCTATGGAATGCAGACATTTTGTATGTATTAAGTGGGGTCATATAATGTCTGTCTTTCATAGTTTATCTATCTTTTGCTTACCATTAAATCCTCCATATTTGCAATTTATACTTATTTTTAACCAAGCTGAAAGGCAGTTCAAAGTTTTATTTGTTCTTAAATCAATATTGTTAATATTTTTACTTTCTCTAATATGCTATTCCAAGTTTGTTTCTCTGGAAATATAATAAATTTTTAAAAATTTAAATTTGTACTCAGGATCTATAACTTCCTTATCTTTTATTATTCTCCATTTGTGGTTTGCATCCCATTAACTGTCCTCTGGGAAATTTCAGGCTTTGACTTTTCTTCCTCAGAATTTTTATGGCAAATTCATGCTTATTGCAGCAAATTTTGTGCTTTCTGATTGCTTTACCACTTCATAATGTAATTTTAATCATAATTATATATATCATGTTTCTGTTACTCTCTATTTCATTATAAATCTAGTTCCAACATAAAATGCAAAAGAACATATATTTATTAAGCTTTCTCCAAAAATTGACAGTATAATTTGATCATAACATTCTGAGCTAATATTTTTTTGCTTTCTCTCTAGTAGAATGAATATACAAACAGATGGTCGCAAGACTGTATATAAAAATAGAACTCTGGTACCAGCAGTTAGCGTAATGGCTATGTCATTGGACTCCCATGTAGTTGACCGTGGTTTGCGTCCTGGACCCGGTGGCTTAAAACTCATGCCGGGCATGTGTGCGTGTATGCCCAAGATCCTGAGAGGAGGACAGAGGAGACAGGATTGTGGCGTGGGCAACCCCCCGGGCAGTGATTTCTCGCTTTCTGTCTCTCTGTCTCTCTCTGTCTGGCAAGTGCACATGCCCTATAGCAAAAATCTCTCCCCCCCCCCAAAAATAATAAAATAGAACTCTGATCCACCTGCAATAGCCAGCCAAAGAAACAAAATTACTATCTGTAGTAACCAGTCCAGGAAACTGAAAAACCCCAGTAGCCATTGGCCTAAAAGCTAATTGATAGATAATTGAAACTTCTCTACTATCTCCTTGCTTCCAACCTAGGTCCAACCACAGAAAGTCAAATATGCTTTCCTAACCAATCATAAAGATGTCCTTGGTTCTAATTAACTTGTCTACAGGTTTTCCATGGCAACAGCCTCCAACCACAGCATACTTGAAGCTTCCTTTTTGAATTTATTTTTTTAAATTTATTTTTTCCATATAAAGCTTTTACACCCATTGCTCTGCCTTTGGATCTCTGCCAAATGCAAGGAATGGTGGCTGACTCTATTACTACATAGGAAGCTCTGAATAAATACCCTTGACTTGCTCTTATTTAGGTTGTCTTTGTTCATTTCCACAATTCTTTTATTGGTACACATTTTAAATTTGTTTTAATTATTTTTATGTTACACATTTCTAATATATTAAAATGTAGATTTTATTTACAAATTGTATTCATAGCCATTCATATTTGACAGTATAAATATAGAGGCAGATGCAATCGACAATGCAGTCTCTACCCCTAGGCCAGTTATGCTCTTTTATTTATCAGCATTTCTAACTGAAGTGCCATTGCAGTAATAATTATTGAGGGACAATTACTGATAAACTTTTTTAGATGCCTCCACTGAAATCGTCTCAGGGAATCTTGACTAAGATTATTTTTTCATTGCTCTGACTCTGCCTTTCTTGAAGCATATCATCACCCTCAACTTCCTCTTGGCTATCTGGGTCCTATAAAAAGGCAAGAATTTTTTTTTCCCTCAAGATCCTTGGCCATAAGATGATTCTCCCTATCTGTACTGTATGCCATCTGACTGATCCTTGTCTAATGCTTTTTAGGCATATTTTCTTGTCCAGGATAGGTAACTTGAAATTTTAGTTTCTATGTATTCTTTGCTAACATGTAGAAATATAGTCATATTTGTATGTTTACCTGAAACCATGCTGAATTTAATAATCAGTTCTATAAAGTTTTTTCTTTGTGGATTCCTTGTAATTTTCGTTGTTTCTTAGCACACTATCAGTAAGAAGAAACAAAAGCAGGTTATGTTCTCTTCAAATCTTTGTGCTCTTTATTTCCTGTTCCCCCCCCCCTATTGCTTGCTAAGGAGAGACACAGAGAGAGGAAAGGGAAAAATCACCCTTGTCTCTTTCCTTTCTGGATTTTGGACATGCATGTACAAGAATCCACTGTGTTTTCAAACCTCCATGGCCATTATTCAAACTATAGTTGACTGCATGGGCTCCAACTCCGTTAACTATTAGTCCATATGACTGGCCTTGAAATGCGTTACTTGGTACTAGATTCCAAAAGAAAGCTCTTAAATGTTTTCCATAAAACTCTGACTATGTCCTTTATAGTATAACATAGCCAATACAGTGGCAACCTAATTTCCTGGTGTATAGAAAATTATTCACTTTAGCCATACCACCTGTAGGCGCTACCATTAGCTACAGTTTGACTTCAAATAGAGATGGTAGTGTTTATAAAAGGCAAATTGGTGTATTTCTTACTGATGTTGGTTTCCTCAGTTATTCAAATACTTTGTCACAGCTGGGAAATGCAGCTGCTTTTTCCTTATATTACAATTAAATATAAATCGTAGGAGATCTACAATAAGAATAAAGTAGTTTATTCAGTTTTGAAAATTGTCAGCAAGTTAGAAATATATAATTTTTAGAAAAACATGAGAGTATAATTTAAACCAAGATATATTAATTATGATCAATTATTCTAATTGTGCTGCTGTATTAGTTTAAAACTTTTGTTTCTTATTTAAAGACAAACAAAATAACTACTTTTCAAATTTTAAAGAAAATTTAATCTTGTGAATTTTAGAATCTTTTGTGTAGTCATCTATAAAATGTAAAATCTATTTAAATCTATTTAATTATATCATGGCCTGGTACATATTAATAATAGGAAACCCAAAAACATAAAATATAATTGCTTCTGATTATATGATAAAGTAGTTTGGAATGTCAAAAAATAATTTCTCTAAGCAACACTTTTTAAGTCGATAAAATGTTAAACTCATATCCTTTATTATTTTTTCTTTTGTTTTCTTTCTTTATTGACATGTTCTCATTGTTGTTTTCTAAAGTGTTACCTTTAGGATGGTGAGATGAAGCTCAAAGGGAATTCATGTGCACTAAAAGGAATGTATACAATAGTCTTTTCTTCCAGTCATGACAGAGTATTAGATTAGATTGACCCTCTCTTCCTATGCAAAAACAAAATCAAAAGAAAGACAGAAATACTTGAGAGAATTGTTTTCAGGCATAGACTAAGTGTAGTTAAGGTCTGTGAGTCTTTGAAAAATGAAAAGCAAACAGGGAAGTCTTATAAACTCTTCCTAAATATTATCTCAAACAATTTTCTCACTGTAGTGAAAGAAAGGTAACCCAAACAAAGCCTCACATATTACTATTTGAGGAAGGAGATATTAAAAATTTTTAGTAGAAGAGACCTAGAATTGAGAGAGAGAGACAGAAAAAGTTCTGAAGATTTGCAGAGAGGTCTCTTTGAACTGGTAGCTGACTGGCTAGATCTCTATATGAATGACAGGGCGAAACATAATTATTATGAAAAGAAAAAGTGAACATGCATTTTACTGATTAAACTTACAAATACTATTCAATAAGAATTTCAGAAAACGTAAGGACATAGCAATAGTAACTATTCCGAAAATATACCCTGAAAACCGTAGTCAAAAGAAAATGGAATAGTTATATAAATAACAAGAAAAAAACTAATTTTCAGAAGAAAGATTATTATTATAGTTGTAATTTATAAATAGAACACAATAACTTAAATATGTATGAATTTAATAACAGTTCCTCAATGTATACATAATATAAAAAAACAATAGGACTGAAAGGAAAAATAGATTTTGCTTATCTTTCTTATGAATAATACCAGAGTGTTGAGGATATAAACATGAATTAAATAAAAACAGTATGTATTATAAAAATATTTCTACTTTACTTGTTCACTCAATAATTTTTCATTGAGGTCATAATATAGTGTTTTTATAAAGGTATTAACAACAAAAGATAATATATGCAAATATATGCAGCATTATTCACAATTGTTAAGATGTGGAACCAACCCAAATGTTCATAAACAGATGAATGAATTGAAAAAATGTGGCACATATACTCTTCTCAGTCTTAAAAAACAGCAAAACTCTGTCATTTGATAGAAAATGGACAAATATATAAAATTTACTGTTAAGCAAGGCAAGCCAGGCTATGAACGAGAGACATTGTATGTCTCCACTTAACGTATACATACTGTCTACACTCTATGGAGGAAACTGAAAGATTAGAGGACATTGAAGCTTTGAAAATGATTATGGATATTGGAAGGAATGGGGGAAGATGGTAGGAGAACAGGGTGAGTATATGGGAAGAAATTAAGGAGGAAATTAGAGAGTCCAAATATTTATGGGACACAGAAATGGAATATTATCTGCTGATGATAACATGTTTTGTATCTTCAACTGGACTGGTATGAAGTGTATTCATGCTGGGTAGTTTTAATTTATAAGCTAAGTGATATATAGTGATTAAATGTATAAAATAAATTTAAAAAAAATTTGCTAACTTAAAAAAATGTTTTACTTCTTCATATAAATCTTACTATATTTGTTATTTTTGCACATATTTCATTACTCTTTTTAAAGATTCTTTTTTTAGAGAGAGATTTTTGCTTTAGGGCATGTGCACTTGCTGGAGACACAGAGACAGAGAGAAAGAAAGCAAGAAATCACTCCTCAGGGGGTTATGGTCACTTTGCAATCCCTTCTCCTCCATACTCCTCCCAAGATTTTGGGCACAAATGCACACATACCTGGAATGAGTTTTAAGTACCAGGTTGGGGACTTCAACCTCAGTCAACTATGTGGGAGTCCAGTGATGTAACCATTATGCTATATTCTGGTCCCCTTAAGAACTTCTGAACAATGAGTTAAAATGTATTCTACATTTTTCATATTTTTTACAATTTTGGGACCATCCCTATTTTTATATAGATTCAAGTTTCTATCTTGTATCTTCTTCCTATAGCCTAATAAATTTTCCACCCATCAGGTAGCACAAACTTGCTGAAGATAAATATTTAAAATAAAATAAATTTATTTTGTTTTATGAAATATATTTTAGTAGATACAGAAGTAGGCATAAGTTGATACTGTAAAACTGACTTTATTTCCTTCAGTTTTGTATTGCTTGTTTTGAGAAAGCTGTAGCAATTCTCATTATTTGATCCTCAACATACAGCTTTCTCTGGTTACTTTAAAACATTTGCTGTATGAATATTTTGAAATTTGTGATATGCTTTAGTGTGTGGGTATGTATGTTTGTTCTTATCTTGCTTGGGGATTTTTAAGAATCTTAACTCTGGGGACTGGCAGGTGGAGTGTTGGCTAAAGTCACTGGACTCCCACCTGGTTCATTGTGGTTCGAGTCCCAGACCTGGTGGTTTGCTGTCTCACTTTCTCTCTATCTCTCTCTCTGTCCCTCTCCGGTCAAACTGAAAGAAATAAATAAAGTTAAATAAAAGAGTAACCAAAAAAAAAAAGAAAGAAAAGAAAAAGATTTTTAGCTCTGTGTACATATGTGTGTCGCCAGAGAGACAGAGAGAGAGAGAGACAGAGAGACAGAAAGCGAGAAATCACTCCTCTTGGGGGGCTGGCCACACCGCAATCCCTTCTCCTCCATTCTCCTCTCCAGATCTTGGGCACGCACACTTATGTGCCCGGTGTGAGTTTAAGCCATGGGGTCCAGGACTTGAACCGCAGTTGACTATATAGGAGTTCAGCGACATAGCCATTATGCTAACTGCTGGTCCCCCTCATTAACTTTTTAAAAAATAGTATTATATGTTGAATTTTTTTGTTTCTTCACAGAACTACTAATTTCTTTTGTACACCCACCTATAAGATTGGTACGTTCTTTAATAATTTTTTTTTAGTTTTTTTATTTACGTATATTAACTGAACATGTTTACAGTGTACAACATGTTTTTCCCAACAAACATATGGCATGTGTTAGTTAATTCAAAGACATTACTATATAAGACTGCTAGAATTTGATTATGCAAAAAGTTACATTATTTGCTCCTTAGTTTTGTTTTTATAGGCATGTTTTTAAGCTTTTTTATGACCAGTCTAGAGTATACTTTACTGTTACGATGTCCCATTTGGGATCACTACTGAGTGCTCTGATTAGCCTAAGAATTTCCTGCACTCTTGGGTACAAATTTTAATATCTCCTAGTCCTTGTTCTGTGTAATCTCTAGACAGTTTCTGAATTCATAGCATCCTAATCATTCTTTCTTGCCTGGCATTGTGTAGCTTTACCCTACACATGTGCACGTTAGTATTCAATCAGTCTCAAAGACACTTCCAGTTTTGTAGAGGTGGTTATATGCAATGCTTCCTGCTTTTTGGTATTAAACGGTAGTTGCTTTGATGGTAAAACAAGTAAAAAAGAAAATTATGTGGTATAAAATTAGCCTATACATGACAAGTGTCTTGAATCAAAGATTTAGACTATTTAAAGTTTCAGCACTAAGATCAATTAAGTATATCAAGCAACATACGTTCATTATTCAGAGAGATTTGTAACTTGTAACAAATTTTATTTCTCCGATGTGGTAGTGGTAGCAAAAATCATTCCTGTATAACCTGCTCTTTAAAATTTTGTATTCATTTATAATAGAGTGTGTGTGTAGGTATATGTGTGTGTGTGAGAGAGAGAGAAAGAGAGAGAGAAAGAGAGATGTACCCTCCACAGGGTCTGGTCATGCCATAATCTCCCTCCTGTTTTCCATCCCTTTTATCTTGGGTGCATGTATCCATTTCTGGACTCTACATGCTTTTCTTAAGATGTAACTTTCACTTACGTTCTTTTGAGATATGGAATCTGTATTCTCTTTTATTTATTTGAATAGACTTGCGAGTATCTGAATTCTTTTTTTTTTTTAATTTTTAAAGATTTTCCTATAGGACGTGTGTGCTCGCCAGAAAGACAGAGACAGAGAGACAAAAAGTGAGAAATCACCCCTTAGGGGGAATGGCCACGGCACAGTCCCTTCTCATTTTCCTCCTGGGATCTTGGGCACTCATGCACATGTGTGAGTTTCAGCCACCGGGTCCAGGACTCGAACCACAGTCGACTGCATGGGAGTCCAGCAACATAGCCATTACTCCAACTCCTTGTACCGAGTATCTGAATTCTAAGACCATGCTCTGGAGGTGACCAGCTTATTCTTAACTCTCCTGGAAGCCTCATTCTGGGCACTCAGCAAACATGGTATGAGAAGCCATGTGGGAGCCTCTGTGGCTCATGGCACTATGTTCCAATAGCAGCCAAGTCCCACCACCTAAATCTGAGGCCAGGTGTCCTGTGAGCTTTGTACAAATAGAACAAAGTAAGTGACTATTGCTTTCAACTGCTAGTTTTCTTTCCAGCTTCTAAAGTTGTAAATGATTTCGGAGTTCACTAAAATTACTTTTCACCAACTATGATAATGTAATTTTTCTTTTTATGTTTTTGATGTGTACTTCATCCTTGTCTTTGTCAGCTTGAGCTACTATAAGAAGGTACCATAAACTGGCAGGCTTAAATATTAGAAATATGTTTCTCAGTTTTAGAGGCTGGATGTTCCACATCAAAATTCTAGCATGGGGATTTTAGTGAAGACCTTCTTTCTGATTTGTAGATGCCTGTCTTCTTGCTGTGTCCTTACATTGCATGGTAAGAGCCACTAAACAGCTCATGACAGCTCTAGTTTCATTATCTAATTATCCCATAAAGACCTTATATCCAAATACCATCACGTTAAAGATTGGGTTCCAACTTATTATATTTGGGGTGGGGGCATAAACATTGAGTCATTAACAGTCAGTATGTATTATTTCATTCATATGGTATTGAATTGAATTGACTTTTTATTGGGGAGTTTGATTTTTTTTTAATAAATTAGTTTCAGCAACTTTTTTTCTTCACCCACCCATTTTGTGTGTATATATATATGTGTGTGTGTGTGTATTTTTTAAATAACCATAATGACAAGGAGTTTGAAGGGACTACTATCAGCTTTGAAAGAAATACTTTTAAAAGTATGGATGAACAATAATAGAGAAATGAAAAATTATTAAGTAGGGCAAAGAAACTAGCCTATTGTATGGAAGTAAGGATATCTATATCTACATCTATGGAGGTAATTTCTTTCTTCTCCCAAATTTAAAGAGATTTATGATCTCAAAAAAGCCATGTAACATTGACAGTATCATCATAAATAAGGGATTTATTAGTACTGGAAAGCAGAATAAACCATGCTAGTTGATATAGTGTAAATTCATTTCCATAATAAGTTTATTTTTTTATTTTTTATTTTTTTTGTGAGGTTTTTGCTATAGGGCGCGTGCGCTCGCCAGACAGACAGAGAGAGACAGAGAGACAGAAAGCAGGAAATCACCCCCCGGGGGGAGTGGCCACGCCGCAATCCCTTCTCCTCCATTCTCCTCTCGAGATCTTGGGCATGCACGCACACGTGCCTGGCGTGAGTTTAAGCCACCAGGTCCGGGACTCGAACCGCGTTCGACTATGTGAGAGTACAGCGACACGGCCATTACGCTAACTGCTGGTCCCCAAAATAAGTTTATTTTATTCAGAAGAGAAATGTGTATCTATGAATGGGGAGAGAAAGATGAAGTGAGAGAGAAGCACCTTGACAAGGTCTGGTCATGCTATGATTCCCTTACTCCAACCCTTCAGCTCATCAAAACCTTTGGCATGCACATTTCACATGCGTTTTATGTCAGCCAGGATGGGGATCTAAATTTGTGGTCAGCCATTTGGCTTTTAGCATTACAATTCAGTATGCTACCAACTGCACCACAGAGAGTGGTTCTTAATGTCTTACTATAATAGTATAATTTTATTGATATATGTTTTAGTTTACCTGTGCTACTACAAAATATTTTATACCTGGTAATTTATAAACAATAGAAATTTATTTCTTACAGTTCTGGAGGCTAGAAAGTCTCAGAAGAAGGACATGGCAAATTCAGTGTCTGGTGAGGACTGCCTTTCTCTGTCTCCAAGATGGCTCCTTGTTGCTGCATTCCTGAAAGGAACAAAGCTGTGTCCTCACATCATAATGGATGGAAGGGCAAGAAGGTCTACCTCATTCTCTCCAGCTCTTTTAAAGAGACACTGATGCCATTTATGAGGGTAAAGTTCTCTGATCTAATCATTTCTCAAAGGTCTCACCTTCTAATATCACCCTGGTGATTTAAATTTCAGCATATGAATTTTGTGAGGACATCTACCTTGAAACTTACAGCAATATGATATCAAGATTATCTTCGTAGTAGTAAAGCAACTCTACATTAGATACAAGTATTATGAAAATTACATGTGAGAGACTGTTTACCTTCATAAATGGCATTCCATTAGTTCAGTTTTAACATTTTTTTCTAAGATGTATTATCTATTATATTTTATTTATATTTGTCTCTTTAAAATTTTACTTTTTAACATTTCTTTAATTTACACTTAATCCTGTGCATCATTACAGTATACACACAATTTTTTCCAGTATGAATGTAGTGCATAACAATCAAAAGATATTACTATATATATTTCATCAGCAAACTTTTTATTCATGTGTCTGTTAAACTTTTCTTCCCCCCCCATGCTCTCCCTCCAACCCCTTGTTACTTACCTCCTATTCCACTGTATCTGGTGTCCACAATTGCCCTCCCTGCTATTGTATCTTTCCATATTTCAGTTTCAGCCATAAAGTGTAGACATTTGTTGTTGAGCAGGGATAATGTCTCTCATAGTCTGGCTTACTTTGCTTAGCATTAAAGCTTACATAGTCATCCACTTTATATCAAGTGTCAGTGTCTTTTTTATGGCTGAGTAGTATTCCATAGTATATACATGTCACATTTTTTCAATTCATTTATTATATTTCAGTCTCTTTTAAAATTTATATTTACTATTATTTAAAAATCAGAGTCTATAAAATGAAAACAAAGTATTAAAACATATAAATAGAAATGTCAAATTAGTGAATAAAATTGTACATTTTTTTAATCACTGAAGTAAGTGCTCAGTGATTAAAATACAAATCACTTAAGAAACATGTTACTAAAGTAAGAAATTCTAAACCACATATTTATGTCACAAATGTCAAAAACTGAACTCTTAAGCTACTGAAGTTATTGAATAGAGATTTCCTGAAAAATCATAGCTAATGTAACATTTAAAGTGATATAGTGGGACCAGCAGGTGGTAGACTCTCACATGACTGATCACGGTTCAAGTTCTGAGTCTGGTGGCTTGCTTTCTTGCTTTCTCTCTCTGTGTCTCTCTCTGGTAAAATTAAAATAAATGAATGAATAAATAAAATAAATAATTTTTTAAAAATAATAAAGTTATGTAGTGTAACTATAGTCATTAAGGCAATGTGTAATTTTATTTTTCATTCTGGAAAACATGGTGGAATTATAGTCCAACTCTTCTTTGAAGTAATATCTATTCTTTTTTGGGAGGTACGTGTTTTCTGTAGGGCTTGTGTGGTTACCATAGAGAGAAAGTGAGAAATCATCCCTCGGGGAGAATGACCACATAGCAATCCTTTCCCCATTTTCTTCTTGGGTATTCTGAGCATGCGTGCATGCATGTGTGCCTGGCATAATTTTCAAGCCACCAGATCTGGGGGAATTCACTGGGGGGTAGTTCTCTGTAATATTTTTTCCTTGTAAACTGGAGGTTTAGCACTGGAGGTCCCCATTTTGACAAGAAATTCCATAGTCCAGAAATGGTATACATGACTCACTGGAATTCAATATATTCAAAGGTGCTTAGCTAACAAGAATATAGATATTAACAATGATAAATTGAATATTAGTGTTTTTCTCCCCCATGGTTTTGTAAAATACATTAGTGTATTACCCTAAGAGATAGATAGCACCAATAATGACTTAGATTTAATTTACGTCTCCTGCTAGGCCTTTCTTAAATCCAGACTCATACCACCTCATACCAACTACCAATTCCTATTGGATACATACAGAATACACATCTCTATTTCAAAATGTCAAAAACTGAACTCTTAAGCTACTCCCCAAATTTGTTCCACTCAGAATCCTCATTTCTATTAATGACAATAACTGTATCATTCTAGTTGCTGAGAACAAAAACTTAAAGTCATTCTAGATGTCTCTATCTCATATGGGACATCTTTCAGAAAATTTTGCTTACATATTAAAAACATGTTAAGATTTTTAAAAAGATTGTTACCAATCTTACTATCTCTGCCACCATTTTATTGTGAACTACTATGTCTCACGTGTCTTAAGTTCCTATTACCTCCTTTGCAAATCTCCGTTTACCAACTATTCACTACATATCACCAACAATTATTCTGCTGGTCCAGCAGGTGGCATGGTGATTAAGCTGGTTGTAACTCACCTGGTTACCTCTGTGTTTGTTGTTTGAGTCTTGGACCCAGTGACTTGAAAAGCATGCAGCACACACATACTTATATGCCCAAAATCTCCTGAGAAAATAAAGGAGAAGAGATTGAGGCACCTTGGCCATTCTTGCATGGTAGGGGCCTCTCTCTTTCTCTCCATGGTGACCATATGCACTTTATAGCAAAATGTAAGAACTAAAAACAAAAAAAAAAATGTGTTAAAAATATGCTAGATTTTTTTTTTTTCAAAATCTTGCTTCAATTACCTATCCTCCTCAGAGGAGAAATTAAAGGCCTGTGTGGTCTACCCTGTTATCAATTTGTTCTAATATCCAATTTCTTTTTTTTTTTGAAAAAAAAAAGGATTATATAATTTTATTTATTATTATTTTGGGGTATGTATTTTTAAATAGAGATATTTTGCTGTAGTGTGCATACACTTGCCAGAAAGACAGAAAACAAGAAATCTCTCCATGAGAAACCATGGGGTGATGGCCATGCTATAATCCCTTCTCCTCCATTCTACTCTTGGGATTTGGGGCATGTACACACATGCGCCTGGCATGAGTTTTAAGTTGCCGGGTCTGGGAATGGAACTGCAGTTGATTACATGAAAGTCCAACAACCTAACCATTCCACCATCTGCTGGTCCCAACTTTTTAAAATATTATTATTACTTTGTTTAAATTTGGTATAGAGTACATGTGCTCACCAGAGTGAGAGAGAGGGAAAGAAAGAAAGTAAGCTGCTGGGTTTGCGACTTGAACCCCTTCTGACCATGTGGGAGTCCAGTGTCTCAAACACCATGACACCTCCTGGTCCCCTCACTTTGAATTTTTATTCTTCTTTTTCTACTTCCCTTCATATTATCTTCTTTGCCATTGCTCAAAAATACCAAATACACTCTCAATTTTGACACTTACACTGGTTTTCCTTTTGCCGAGATTCATTCATCTAAAGTATCTATTTCACATCATTCAAATCTTAAAGCTAATCCTTTAACCTTATGTTATATTGCAATTTGTTATAAAATCTGACTGCATATGTGATTTTTAGCCATATCACTTCATTGTGCATATTATGATTTACTATCTTTTTTCTCATAGAATATTAACCCTATGAGGTTTAGGAAGTTTGTCCCATTTGGTCATTGATATACCCCAAGTACTTACAGAAGTACCTAGTCAGTTGTCACTTAATGGATGTTTATTCAGTGAATGACTATTTTACCAGACAGGTGAAATAAAACTCACAGACTTCATTATATATGATCACAGGAAATGATATAATGTGACTTTCTTGGATTTTTAATTTTTTGAAATCTTTATTTCCAAAAAATATGTATAATATTCAGGGTTTTCTGATTGGATTCAAGCATGTAAATACTTTATTGTGAAACTCATTCTGAAGAAATTAATGCCATGAACTTCTCCAGTAACACCTGAATACTAAATTTGTTGAGTATACGGTGTAAGACCAGGCCACAGTGCTAGGGTAATTTGCCTTCTAATTCAGACAAGTAAAAGTAAAAAACAACAACAACAAAAATACAAATGAATAAAAGAGCTAGCTCCCTGTATATTAGATTCATTATCTTGGCTGTTAGGCAATACATTCTCTTAACTATTCCATTATAAATAACTTTGATGGAGCACACTAAATATTCTGCTTTCTTATCAGTATTCTGATAAAAGTCAAAAAGAACTCTCTTCTACCTGCCCAGTAATACTTGATCTCAGTTTAAATAATCAGATGGTAGGATTGAGTTTGAGTCTGGGAAATATTGTAGATACTGAGCGCATGATAAACTTTTCATTCACAGGATCTGCAGTAGTACTGTCCATTGTAGTGACTTCATTGACACCAAAGCCTTCCTATTTTTTTTTTTAAAGAGTTTTCAAAACTGGCCTTCCAGAATCTTCCTGATCATCTACTTTTCATCATCTTCCAAACTCACATCAACTTTTGATCTTCTCCTTTCTATAGTCTTCTAACTTGGATTATGCTATAATATCAGGAATTTCTGTTTCTCATTACCAAAAATTATAATTTATGTAATAAAACATTATGAAAGACATTATAAAAGATAAGATCTTAGAATATTTGTGGATTGTCAGTCAGAGACAAGGTAACTAGTCCCAACTCTGCCACTTAGTAATCTTTACTCATTGTCAGTTTAATAATTTTGCAAATATTGATAAAGATGGCTAAATCTTGAGTTGAGTATAAACAAGAATGAAAAGACTGATATAGAAAGAAATAATTTACATTCACCTAGTAACTGGAGCCCATATATAAAAAGTACTTATTTTTATTTCCTTGAATGATTCATTGTTATCCTTTAATTTCTTCTTAAAACACATTTGTAGACTAATGTGTATGTTTCTTTTTCTAGTGATCTTCATTCTTATTGGCACTATCTGAATGAGTGCAATGCTATAGCCAAAAATTATAATGGGCAAAGTGATTTTCAAAACTACTACTCCTTTACATGAGTTAATACTTGTATTTGTGTTTTGTACATTTTAAAGTGTGAGTGTGTCTTGAACATCATGAAAAAAATGAACAGTTTATGCCTCATGTCTAGCAAAGAGGGGAAATACCATCTAGGCTTGCTCATTG